GACAGACTCTCTCTAGCTTTGAGAGGGAGGGACCTGGCTGCAGGAGAGAAGGTACCTGGGGTGGAGCAGGGCTGGGGGAAGGCTAAGGAAGCTGGGGAGCTCCGGCCTGGAAACCCCCCAGGCTGTGGCCTAGTGGAAGGCCAATTAGGTACTGAGGTTGTAGGGGGCAGCCTACGGGTAGGCAGAGGCAGCAGGTCCAACCCCCCCTTGCCTATGATGAGCGGCTTTTACACTGCAGTCTGCCCCAGTGAGCGGGGGCTAGATGGTGACTGGCAGTAGCCCATGACTGAGGCAAGGCGGGGATAGAGGGTTGGGGGTTCCCCTGGGTGAGGAGACCCTGAGACTGTGGGGGTGTTGCCAGGGGGCAGTACCCCAAAGACAAGGGGCACCAGGTCCTGGGAGGGGCACGGGGGCCAGCGGCAGCAGGACACCGGCCTGCAGAGGGTGCTCTGGAGGCTGGAAACACTAATTCCCTGAGAGGACCAGCAGGAGGCGCCGCAGGGGTGAGTCCCACACTGCGACAGGCACCTATATGCCCCAGTGTTGCCAGCTGATGCCCTTTGCCCTGGGAACTGAAGCTGCTAATTTCTTAGTAATAGGACTTCCATCATTATAATTTGCACTTTACTTCTCAGATTTCTTCTGCACTGGTACGATGGCTACTGCCTAAAGCCCTGTCTATGTTGTTCTGTTTCAGGTATTTTCCCATCAAATTTGCCCCTTGCAGCAAACTGGACTGCAATTGAGCTTTTTGCTTCCTATACTGAGCTCCTGAAGACTTCTTCGGGGGCATCTTTTATATTCTACAAGGGAAAACAGACAGTATTAGGGAGCAAGATAGTCTATGTTCCGCAGTCTTAGAAAGTCATCAAACATTACGTGTTATGCATAGCATAGCCACAGGGGGCTACAACAGTGGTACCCTTAGCTCACCCAACAATATTGTTAATCTATCCAACCACACACTTAGCCCGGCGGAAGAGTCTGTCCTATCTCGGGGACTCTCTTTCTGCCCCACCACCCCCAAGCACATGATACAGTTCTTCGATGATCTGGAAGCCTACTTTCGCCATCTCCGACTCAAGGAATATATTCAACACACCACTGAACAGTGCACTGACCCACAGGAACCCTCCTACCAACACTACAAGAAGAAGAATTCTGCGTGGACTCCTCCTGACGGTTGAAATGACAGAATGGACTTCTACATAGAGTGCTTCCGCAGACGTGCACAGGCTGAAATTGTGAACAAACAGCATCACTTGCCCCATAACCTCAGCCATACAGAACGCAATGCCATCCACAGCTTCAGAAACAACTCTGACATTATAATCAAAGGGGCTGACAAAGGAGATGCTGTAATCATCATGAACAGGTTGGATTATGAACAGGAGGCTGCCAGGCAACTCTCCAACACCACATTTTACAGGCCACTCCTCCAATCCCACTGAGGAGTACCAAAAGAAACTACACCATCTGCTCAAGAAATTCCCTGCTATAGCACAGGAACAAATCTATATAGACACACCCCTAGAACCCTGACCAGGGGTATTCCATCTGCTACCCAAGATCCATAAACCTGGAAATCCTGGATGCCCCATCATCTCAGGCATTGGCACTCTTACAGCAGGATTATCTGGCTATTTAGACTCTCTCCTCAGACCCTACACTACCAGCACTCCTAGCTAGCTTCAAGACACCACCGACTTCCTGAGGAAACTACAATGCATCGGTGATCTTCCTGAAAACACCATCCTGGTCACCATGGATGTAGAAGCTTTTTACACCAATATTCCACACAAGGATGGACTACAATCTGTCAGGAACAGTATCCCTGATGAGGCCACGGCACACCTGGTGGCTGAGCTTTGTGACTTTGTCCTCACCCACAAACATTTCAGATTTGGGGACAACTTATACCTTCAAGTCAGAGGCACTGCTATGGGTACCCACATGGCCCCACAGTATGCCAACATTTTTATGGCTGACTTAGAACAACGCTTCCACAGCTCTCGTCCTCTAGTGCCCCTCCTCTACTTGTGCTACATTGATGACATCTTCATCATATGGACCCACGGGAAGGAGGCCCTTGAAGAATTCCACCTGGATTTCAACAATTTCCATCCCACCATCAACCTCAGCCTGGACCAGTCCACACAAAAGATCCACTTCTTGGACACTACAGTGCAAATAAGTGATGGTCACATAAACACCACCCTCTACTGGAAACCTACTGACCGCTATACTTACTTACATGCCTCCAGCTTCCATCCAGGACACCTCACACGATCCGCTGTCTACAGCCAAACCCTAAGATACAACCACATTTGCTCCAATCCCTCAGACAGAGGCAAACACCTACAAGATCTTTATCTAGCATTCTTAAAACTACAATACCCACCTGGGGAAGTGAGGAAACAGATTGGCAGAGCGAGATGTGTACCCAGAAGTCACCTACTACAGGACAGGCCCAACAAGGAAAATAACAGAACACCACTGGCCGTCACGTATAGCCCCCAGCTAAAAGCTCTCTAGCACATCATCAACGAGCTACAACCTGTCCTGGAAAATGATCCCTCACTCTCAGAGACCTTGGGAGGTAGGCCAGTCCTCACTTACAGACAGCCCCCCAACCTGAAGCAAATACTCACCAGCAACTACACACCACACTACAGAAACACTAACCCAGGACCCAATCCCTGTAACAAACCCCATTGCCTTCTCTGTCCCCATATCTACTCTAGTGACACCATCAGAGGACCCAACCACACCAGCCACACCATCAGGGGCTCATTCACCTGCATATCTACTAATGTGATATATGCCACCATGTGCCAGTAAAGCCCCGCTGCCATGTACATTGGCCAAATTGGACAGTCTCTACATAAAAGAATAAAGTGTTCTCCAGTAGGAGAACACTTCAATCTCCCTGGACATTCAATAACAGATTTAAAAGTAGCCATCCTTCCACAAAAAAACTTCAAAAACAGACTTCAAAGAGAACCTGCAGAGCTACAATTCATTTGCAAACTTAACACTATTAATTTGGGCTTGAATAGGGATTGGGAGTGGCTGGCTTACTATAAAAGCAATTTTCCCTCTCTTGGTATTGACACCTCTTCATCAATTATTGGGAGTGGACCACATCTATCCTGATTGAATTGGCCTTGTCAACACTGGTTCTCCACTTGTAAGGTAATTCCCTTCTCTTCAAGTGCAGTATATTTATGCCTGTATCCATAAGTAATTTTCACTCCATGCATCTGAAGAAGTGAGATTTTTTTACCCACGAAAGCTTATGCCCAAATAAATCTGTTAGTCTTTAAGGTGCCACTGGACTCCTTGTTGTTTCTGTGGATACAGACTAACATGGCTACCCCTCTGATACATAGCAAAAGAAGTAACAGTATTTCTTTTATGTTATGTTGATAGGGGTTTCATAGATATTTCTGGTGTCTCATTAAATATGTCCTTTTATTAAATTAGTTGCTACTTGCACTCTTCAAGTCTTAAAATACAAGTACACTTTCACAATTACACAATAAAACAAGATTCACAATATCACAGCTAGGCTTTCAGCACAGGTGCCGAGTTCCTACATTCCTGGGGGTGCTCGACCCCCCACTCCATCCCAGACCCTGCCCCCACTCCACTTCCCACAAGCCCGCACCCCTGCCATGCCTCTTCCTGCCCCTGACCTGCCCCAGGTCCCACCCCCATACCACCCCTTCCCCCAAACCCCCACCCTGCCTCTTCCCATCCCCTCTCCCCTCTTTCTGCCCGACTCCCTCCAGCGCCTCCTGCACGCCGTTAAACAACTGATCTGCAGAACGTGGGAGGTGCGGGGAGGAAGGGGAGGCACTGATCCATGGGGCCACTGGCAGGCAGGAGGTGCTGGGAGCGAGTGGGAGGAGCTGATGGGGGGCTGGTTGTGGGTGCTGAGCACCCACCACTTTTTCCCCATGGTTGCTCCAGCACTGGAGCACCCACGGAGTTGGCACCTATGGCTCTCACTTCAGTTTGTTCTTATATCTCACTGACAGACTGGCGATGCCCCACCCCTTATATACCTGTGGGGGCATGGCTGACAACATTCTAGGAGGTTAGAGGAAAATATAATCCTCAAAGTCTTGAAAGTTTCATGTGATTCTACAAAGGGACCTCCACAACCATCTAGCCTGAATCCTTGCGCACATACAGGCTGTGGAATTTCTCCCACAAACTGGATTCAAGCATATCATAATTAGGAAGTTATCTAATCTCACTTCACAGATTTAAAGCGATGCTGAGTCCACTGTACTGCTTGCTGCCCTTGCTGAAGTATTCTATAAAGGTAAAGAGAGGACTATCTAGGCTGAGGCTGGTCAGTCTGGCACTTTTCATGAGAACATTTTTGTGCATGCAGGTTTCAGCTCCAAAGAGGAAACAGCCATTTGCAAATGTAATTCAAACCCACTGAACAATATGTTTTATTTCCAATATCAAAATCTAGATCCTGCTGATGTACAATGTCCTACTGCTGTTTACAGTACAGAAACCCTGTTACTTAACATAATACCAGCTACCCAGTGATGGGCAAAGTATTAATCCTAAGTATATTAGATAGAAATAATCACAGCTATAGGATTTTTTATAAAATACTTGTCCTTAGGGATTTTCTGTGCTGCTCATGCTGGGTACCTGCATGTCTGAATCCAACTGCAGTGACTATCACAGACTGCAGTTATATGCTTGTAAGAGGAAGGATGTTTTGCAATAAAAAAAGTGAACAGAGAAGACAATGAAAAGGAAGAGAGTTTGGAACAGCAAATTTATCAGTAGGTGTCTTTCATTATGTATATGGCATAGTGAAGGATTGTTGTGCTTTGGCCAACCTCTGGATAGGATCTATCAGCGAATGTATCTTTCAGCTGACCATATAAAATCACCCATTGTTGTTTTGCAGTGTTGTTATAGCCCTGTTGGTCCCAGGATATGAGAGAGACAAGGTGGGTGAGAAGATATCTTTTATTGGACCAACTTCTGTTGGTGGAAGAGACAGAGACAAGTTTTCAAGCTACACAGAGAGGTTTTATTCAGGTCTGTAAAAGGTAATCAGAGTGTCACATCTAAATGCAAGGTAGAACAGATTGTTAAGCACAGGAGTTAATGCATGTTGCAAGGGACCATTCAAAATGAAACGGCCCATTAACACTTCCACAGTCATAGGACAAAGGAGGTTTTTAGGGTTACACATTGTTGTAAACAGACATAAAACTACTGTCTCTATCGAATCTATACCTCCCACAGCACACCTTTCAAGATCCTTGGGTCTTACATGTATTGTACATCACCCAGTGCATCAAATGCCCCAACAACAGCTATGTGGGTGAAACTAGACAATCATTATGCTCTCAAATGAACTCAAATAGAAAAATGATAAAGGACAAAAACACCCCATCATCTGTGGGCAAACACTTTTCACAAAACAAGCACTTGGCTACTGTTCAGAATGTTGCACGCAGTTTCTTCCATTGCTTATAGAATAACATTCCAAAGGTATTACTAGTAGATTTATAATAGCCTACCAATAACTGAAAAGGAGGCCCCAATGATTATAACTTTGCCTTCAAAGAGGAGCCTTCCAGAGCAGCAATGCATTCTCCCACCAGTCGAGCAGTCTCTTTAGCAGTGCCCCTGTGCACTGAAAAGCCACCTGAACCATGTCCATAGTTGTGGACCACGGGCAGTTTTTTCCCATCATGGACCAGTATCTCTTTCTGCAGTCTCACAGCTAACCTGGATGGCCTCAGACCCACCCTCACCTTTATGTCCTGGGCTCTTTGAAGTGAGGGTTCAAGAGCACAACATCTGTCAAATATGTCTTTGCTACTTCTAGGATCTGGGGACAAGCTCCAGTTGTCCTTTTGCCTTGTCCCACCTAATGTTACATTGTGTATTCCTGGATAGATGTAGGTTAAACCATCCCCATCCCGGATGAAGTGATTCACCCAAGGAGCATCGACCTTGAGTACTTGACCTCTGACAGGGTATATCTCCAAGTCACCCATGAGTTCTCTGGATCCAATGCCTGAACAGTTGACAACGATGTCATATTTGCTATGTAGTTCCCACAGATCTTCGATTCGTCTAGCATACACCTGGCTGCCATTTCCTTTCAACCTAAAAAGAAATACTGGAGGTAAAGCATGACAATTAACTATTAATAAATCGCCTTGATTAGTTTTATGCAAGTCAAGTAAGTAAGAGACTCTTTAAGATGCAGAAGAATAGAAAATTGAAGAAAAATCAGAGATAGATAGCATAGGGCTTCTGTTTATGACTTGTCTGATTTGGCTGTTGGAATTAAGACATTGCAAACAAAAGGCTCTTTGTTTGTTTATAAGATTGGACAGGGCAAAATATATCAGGTGTACAAATATTACAGAGGCAAAAAAAGACGAGATAGCGATCTCATGAATTCATCTTATGATAGCTCCAAAATTGAGCAGTTCATACAGCCTAAGGATGGGCAAAATGTCACTTTTACTTCAAACAAGTATTTATATTATTAGTAGTATTTTACTACATACATTTCTGAGGTACCTGTTACTTGAAGTCAAATTCATCCCTGATGTCCAGTGCCGTAACAAGGGCGAGGCGAGTGAGGCACTTGCCTCAGGCGCACAAAGGGGAGGGGCGCAATCACCTCCTCTCCGCCTCCTCCTCCTCCCCTGAACGCTCCGCCCCTGCTTCTCCGAGCCCCTGCTTCCCGCGAATCAGCTGTTCGTGCGGGAAGCCTGGGAGCACGGAGAAACAAACGGCGGCACGCTCAGGCCCAGGGAGGTGGAGGTGGAGGCGGAGCAGAGGTGAGCTGGGGCGGGGAGTGCAGGGTCGGGTCTAACTTTTCTGCCGCCGCCCCAAGCAAAAAAAAAAAAAAGGGCGAGGGGGGGAGGCGCTGTCGCAGTGCAGCCGGAGAAGCGAGGTGCGAGGGGGGGAATGCGGCTGGAGGAGCGGGGGGTGGGCACGGCACGGCCAGAGGAGAGAGGTGCAAGGGGGGGACACGGCCGGAGGAGCGGGGGGGGGGGGGAGGGGCGGGAGGAGCCAAGGGGGGGCGGCGCTGCCAGAGGAGCGGGGGGCGCAATTTTATATTCTTGCCTCGGGCGCAAAAATAGCTAGTTACGGCTCTGCTGATGTCACTCTGTCTTCAGGGCTGCTATCAAATATGATACTATTTATAAATGCATAAGGAAGAAAGGAATCAGGCCTCATTTATAGAGAGTGAGATACAGCAGGTATTAACATCAATTCACCTTGGGTGTTTTAAAGTGGCGATCTAATGTAGGATGGGATGAGTTGGCTTAATATCTGTAAAGAGATCTGTTAGACTGCACGTTAGGCATGCACTCCATTCTCTCAACAAAAACTCATCCTCTTCCTGGGGTTTACATTTATTGTTAACTTAAATCTCAACCTAAGCTTCATTTTGAGCATGGCTTAAATGTAGGGTTCTCCCTGCAGGACCAACTCCTAATCTGTCGAATAGGTAGAGATTAATTCTCTCTAGTGGGATCTCACCCATAGCATTTGAGATTCTGTCATATTTTTTGCAAAAACATGTTAATACAAAAACTACTAAACATTCTGCAGAATTCAGACAAGGTAGGGGGAGAAAGTTCATGAACTGTGACATTAAAGCTAGCCTAGAAAGAGGATGTGGTAAATGCTTTTGTGCTGCCAAGGCAAGGTACCATAAATATTGTTCAGATCACTTGGGTTTGCAAAATAGTTACATATTTACTATGCTCTCTTTCCTGGTACCCACAAAGGGGCGGGGGTGGAAAACCTTATCATCTTATTAGACTACATCCTTTGGGAAATGCGAAGAGTCTGAAACAGGAATAAGGAAGCAGCAGAAGCCTTTGTGGCGAAGCAGCCTGACAGATACTAAATGGAGTCAGCAATTTAGTTGTTCCTCAGTACAATTTTCAGTATCAGTTAAGCAATGAAACATGACAAGCCTTGTGTTCCTGTGAGATAGTACAGAAGTCAGATAGTATTGGCAGCACAAGAGTACTCCCACTTATGCTTGCTGCTAAAAACATGAAATGTTATTCCATGTGGTTCAATGGCATGGAACATAATCAAACAAGCTGAGGATTATCTGGCAATTTGTTCCAAGATGTAGATACACATTTTACTACCTAACATCAAATCACCTTGTATCCAGTCACTATGCCTGTGAAATGACAAACATTATTTGCTCTTTTTAAGTGCATTTAAATGGATTATACATACACATTATAGGATCTGTTTTCTGACTCCGCTAAAATTCTTTGAAATTGATGTGACTTGAGGAGAACTGGTCTTCAGAAGGAAAAAAAATAAACTGTAAGACTTTTTTCTGCACAGGCATAAATTTTAAAGCCTTCACGTGTGTCAAGTGTTTTGCACATGCAAATATTTCTGTAAGGTTTTCTACAAGATGATAATACAGAAAGATAGTACTTGGATTTTTTTTTTACTCCTTTCTGCTCCTGATTCCAGAATGGTTTGTGAGGTGAGTTGGGCAGAAGAGAGGTTTTTGACCAAATCAGAGATGAATTGGCCCAGCCAATTTTGAAATACAGAGATTGGAACAGGAGGCATTTCCACAGATTTTCAAATTCTCCTGACAATTTTTGCCATTTCATAGCTCAAAACCAGTGAGGCTAGAGGTTTCAAAACATCACCTTTGGTTTGTGGCAAACGGCTTGCAGAGCACTAGCTTCTTTTACCATTTTCAAGAGCTGGTGGGATGTATTTTGGAAGTTACAGACTGGCAAATGAGGAACATCTGAATGTTCATTTGACTAGTGGCAGAGAAAAGACAGAAGATAACACTCTTTCCACTCCACTAGTATCTCTGGAGGATGTTAAACAGAAGCTACTAAAGTTAGAGATTTTTAAATCAGCAGGTCCTGATGGCTTGCATCCAAGAGTTTTAAAAGAACTGGCTGAGGAGCTTGTTGGCCCATTAATGCTGATTTTCAATAAGTCTTGGAGCACTGGGGAAGTTCCAAAAGACTGGAAAAAAACTAACGTTGTACAGTTTTTAAAAAGGGCAAATGGGATGATCTGGGTACTTATAGGCTGTACGCCTGACAGTGATCCTGGACAAGATAATGGAGTGGCTGATACCAGACCCAATTATAATGAACTAAAGGAAGTTAATGTAATTAATGCAAATCAACATGGTGTAATATACGTAGACTTCTGTAAGGTGTTTGTCCTGGTGTCACATGACATTTTTATTAAAAAACTAGAATGATATAAAATTAACATGGCACACATTAAATGGATTAAAAGCTGGCTAGCTGATGGGACTATTTAGAAAAGCTGGACATGCACAAGTCCATGGGTCTGGATCTAATGCATCCAAGGGTGCTGAGGGAGTTGGCTGATGTGATTGCAGAGCCATTGGCCATTATCTTTGAAAATTTGTGGCGATCGGGGGAGGTCCCGGACGATTGGAAAAAGGCAAATATAGTGCCCATATTTTAAAAAGGGAAGAAAGAGAACCCGGGGAACTACAGACTGGTCAGCCTCACTTCAGTCCCCGGCAAAATCATGGATCAGGTCCTCAAGGAATCCATTTTGAAGCACTTGGAGGAGAGGAAGGTGATCAGGAACAGTCAATATGGATTCACCAAGGGCAAGTCATGCCTGACCAACCTGATTGCCTTCTGTGATGAGATAACTGGCTCTGTGGATATGGGGAAAGCGGTGGATGTGATATATCTTGACTTTAGCAAAGCTTTTGATACGGTCTCCCACAGTATTCTTGCCAGCAAGTTAAAGAAATATGGATTGGATGAATGGACTATAAGGTGGATAGAAAGCTGGCTAAACTGTCAGACTTAACATGTAGTGATCAATGGCTCGATGTCTAGTTGGCAGCCAGTATCAAGTGGAGTGCCCCAGGGGTGGGTCCTGGGGCCGATTTTGTTCAAAATCTTTATTAACAATCTGGATGATGCGATGGATTGCACCCTCAACAAGTTCGCAGATGACACTAAGCTGCAGGGAAAGGTAGATACTCTGGAGGGTAGGGATAGGGTCCAGAGTGACCTAGACAAATTGGAGGATTGGGCCAAAAGAAATCTGATGAGGTTCAACAAGGACAAGTGCAGAGTCCTGCACTTAGGAAGAAAGAATCCCATGCACCGCTACAGGTTAGGGACCGACTGGCTAAGCAGCAGTTCTGCAGAAAAGGACCTGGGGATTATGAGAAGTTGGATATGAATCAACAGTGTGCCCTTGTTACCAAGAAGGCCAACGGCATATTGGGCTGTATTAGTAGGAGCATTGCCAGCAGAACGAGGGAAGTGATTATTCCCCTCTATTCGGCACTAGTGAGGCCACACCTGGAGTAGTGTGTCCAGTTTTGATCCCCCCACTACAGAAAGGATGTGGACAAATTGGAGACAGTCCAGTGGAGGGCAATGAAAATTATTAGGGGGCTAGGGCACATGACTTACGAGGAGAGGCTGAGGGAACTGGGGTTATTTAGTCTCCAGAAGAGAAGAGTGAGGGGGGGATTTGATAGCAGCCTTCAACTACCTGAAGGGGGGTTCCAAAGAGGATGGAGCTAGGCTGTTCTCAGTGGTGGCAGATGACAGAACAAGAAGCAATGGTCTCAAATTGCAGTGGGGGAGGTCTAGGTTGGATATTAGGAAACACTTTCACTAGGAGAGTGGTGAAGCACTGGAATGGGTTACCTAGGGAGGTGGTGGAATCTCCATCCTTAGAAGTTTTTAAGATCCTGTCAGCCTGCTTTGAGCAGGGGGTTGGACTAGATGACCTCCTGAGGTCTCTTCCAACCCTAATATTCTATAATTCTATGATAGGTGTCAAAATGTAATTGTAACTGGGGAATTGTCATTGAACAGGTCTGTTCACAGTGGAGTCCTGCAAAAATCTGTTCTTGGCCCTACACTATTTAACATTTTATCAATACCAGAAGAAAACGTAAAATAATTACTAATAAAGTTTGAAGATGACACAAAAATTGGGGGAGTGGTAAATAATGAAGAGAACAGGTCATTGACTCAAAGCAATTGAAATTGTTTGGTAAACTGAGCGCAAACAATATGCATTTTAAGATGGCTAAATGTATACATACAGGAACAAAGAATGTAAGTTATACTTTCAGGATGGGGGACTGTATCCTGGGAAGTGGTGACTCTGAAAAAGCTTTGGGGGTCGTTGTGGATAATCAGCTGAATATGAGCTCCCGATGTGATGCTGAAGCCAAAAGAGCTAATGCGATCCTAGGATGTATAAACAGGAGAATCTTGAGTAGGAGTAGAGAGGTTATTTTACCTCTATATTAGGCTCTGATGCAACCACTGCTGGAATACTTTGTCCAGTTTTGGTGCCCACAATTCAAGGAGAGTGTTGATAAATTGGACAGGGTTCAGAGAAGAGCTACGAGAATGATTCAAGGATTAGAAAACATGCCTTAAAGTGATAGACTCAAGGAACTCAATCTATTTAGTTTAACAAAGAAAAAACTAAAGGGTGACTTGATTACAGTCTGTAAGTACCTATATGAGGAACAAATATTGAATAATGGGCTCTTGAATCTAGGAGAGAAACATGATCCAATGGCTGGAAGTTGAAGCTAGACAAATTCAGACTGGAAATAGGGGGGAAAAAATTTAACAGTGAAAGTAATTAACCAGTAGAACAATTTACCAAGGCTTGTAGTGGATTCTTCATTGCTGACAATTTTTAAATCAAGAGCAGATGTATTTCTAAAACATCTTCTGTAGGAATTATCTGGGGGCAGTTCTATGGCCTGTGCTACATAGGAGATCAGAGGAGATGATCACAATGGTCCCTTCTGGCCTTACAATCTATGAATCTATGAAAGGACAGGACCAGGAATATGGCTGCTCTCAAGAAATCAGCTTTCCACATCCAAATCCTGCAGGATTCCCCATGTAAATGTATGTGGATCATGTCATCCATAAGATAGTTTCCCCCAATGCACAGTGAATGCCTCCTTTGAAGAGATTGATTGAGCCATTAAGACACAGTCCTGCATTGAGGATGGTGCTGAATTGCCCCAGCAAGAGCTCCAGAATGTATCATCTACCTGTGTGCATTATCTGCAGGGGGACTGCAGCTGCAGTACCTGAGCCAGCCTGGTGTAAGGTATATAGGCTCCCTGGTGCACTTAGCCAGCTGTTTCACTGATGTAGGAGAAGGACCATGGTTCCTTTCCCACTTGGGGAGGCTAATGCTTCTGTGGATATTCACCTGGCTGGAGGTGTCCTTGCTCTCAGGACTGAAATTACCCTGTCATTGCATGCAGATACAAGAAGGGGAGGCTTTGTGCACTTTCTGCTCCCTTGTGCACCAACCCAGTAGGGAGCCTCTAAGGCAGTGTTTCCCAAACTTGGGACGCCGCTTGTTTAGGGAAAGCCCCTGTCAGGCCGGGCCAGTTTGTTTACCTGCCGCATCCGCAGGTTCAGACGATCGCGGCTCCCACTAACCGTGGTTTGCTGCTCCAGGCCAATGGGAGCTGCTGGAAGCAGCGCAGGCCGAGGGACATACTGGCCGCCGCTTCCAGCAGCTCCCATTGGCCTGGAGCAGCGAACCACGGCCAGTGGGAGTCGCGATCGGCCAGACCTGCGGACGCGGCAGGTAAACAAACCGGCCCAGCCCGCCAGGGGCTTTCCCTACACAAGCGGCATCCCAAATTTGGGAACACTGCTCTAAGGGATAGTTTTGGAAGATTTTGAAAACGTGGGGCCTTATTCTCATTTACATTAAAGCCACTTCATACCACTCTGTCCATGTAATGGGGCGTTAAAATGGTAAATATAACATTCTCCCACTTTTAGATATCTGTACACTACCAGAGTTGTGAAAAATGGCCTTAGGTTTAATGAAACTCATTCCCATGGCCTTTAAATTCTTGCAAAAGAGGATATATGTGTAACCCAGGGGTAACTCACAGAAGATCAGTCTCCATTTCTCCCAGAAAGGAAAGAAAGATTTTAAAGTCCATTAAATCAATGGAATATTCCCAACCCTTTCCTTTCAGGAAATATCAGCTACACCCATCAAAACAAACCTTTTCTCCAACCATAGCAGATAGGACGGGCAGTCACATTTCAGTGTAGTAAAAGCCTGACCGAATCTGTGCTGTGGAAATTTCTTCAGCTCCTCTTCAGTCATTGAGCGAAATCCGAGGACAACATCAGACCAGAATGGTAGCACTTCATCAGGAATGGTTTTAAAGATCTGCCAGCTAAAGGACATGGAAGAGAAGAGGCTAGACTTAGACATGCTCACGTTCATGTGACACAATTCATTTTGATCTTAGTTTAAAAATATTAGCAATCATCTTCCATTGGTCAGCAGGATCTCTAGAGTTTAGACAGATAGAAGGTAACAAAGTAAAAGACCTCACAGATGATAATTACTTAATTGGCTATAAGCTTTAGTGGAGTCTTAGTAGGACTTGGACCTAGGGGTGAGGGTAGAGTGAGGCTTAGGGTAATTGAGCCAAGTTAAAAATCACTAAAGGGGGGGTGCGCCAGGGAGAATAACAGGATAACACACGATTAAATACATTAAATGCAGTGAGCGGAGGGATGGGGGAAATAGCAGTCCAATGTGTCCCGTGTCCTCTTATTTTCATGGTTCTCATTTAAAACTAAAAATGTGCTGGACAATGAAAACACGGGCCATTAAAACCACATCCTTTCTGTGCTCCATTTACTCTCCAGTCTTGAATCTTGTTTCTAGAGATTCTAAATTAATCCCCAGGAATTCACTAACTAAATTCCATACCGAGTTAAATTTAGAGATGGGCTCAAATCCAGATCTGCATCACAGTACCACTGCTTGGGCCCATCTCCAGGTAAGGTACAAAGCTTGCTCTCCTTCAGAGTTTAAACTCTGGAATTCCTGCCTGTCGCGAGGAGGTGCGGCCTCCCTCAGATGCGGATGCAGAGGGAACAACACAGGCCGCCTGGTGAGAGGAGCCAGGAGGACCACGCCCCACACGCTGGAAGCAGAGAGGGGAGCTATAAAAGGCTGGCCCAGCTACTCAGTTGGGAGGAAGCTGCTGGAGGAGATAGATGCTTCTTCCCCGCTGCCGGAGGCGAGCACCAAGAACTGCTGTTGCCCAAGGGACCAGCGTGAGCTTCCACAGAGTCCTGGCGCAGAGGAGCTGCTACCACTATCCCTGGCAGTGTACCCAGGGGAGACTGAGGACGACCCCTGGATCCAGGTACACCTGAGAGAGAAAGAAGGAAGCAGCCCAGGGGAACCAAGCTGTAGTCTGCTAGAGGGCGAGCCTGAAACCAGGTCAGTGTGTTGCGGGCGGATCCCCGCTCACCCAGTGGTGGACTACTCTGCCACTGTTAGGGTCCTGGGTTGGGATGCGGTGGAGTTGGGTGGGCCCATGCCACCCCACCCCTGGGGTGACAGTACTCCCCCCTCCGTAGGCCAGAAGACCTGTGCTCCCCTGCTCACACCAAACCTAAAGCGGCTCCAGGGTGGCAGCGGCGCGCACCGGGGCCAGGGCAGGCTCCCTGCATGCCTGCCCTGGCCCCGGCCCCGGCCCCGCACCGCTCCAGGAAGCGCTGCGGCCCCTGGGGGAGGGGGGACAGAGGGCTCTGCGTGCGCTGCCCTTGCCGCGCCTCCAGGAACCTCCCCCGAAGCTTCCATTGGCCGCGGTTCCCCGTTCCCAGCCAATGGGAGCTGAGGGGGGCGGTGCCTGGAGGCAAGGGCAATGCACGTGGCACCACAGGGGGCAATCCCGCAGGCTCGATCCAAAGCCCTGAGGGGTCGGATCCGGCCCGTGGGCCGTAGTTTGCCCACCCCTGATTTAGAACCACTATGGTAATTACTCCGGGTCCACACTACCCCCCTTCTGTTGGTGGTGCACATCCTCACCAGGAGCGCTTCCACCCTCTTAAGAAGGCCGGGAGGAGGGGGCTCCATGCGCAGCTCCACACCAGGAGCCCGGCTGCCCTCACCCCTCCCAGGCTCCTGGCTTCCCACTCTCCCATGGGAGCCTGGCTGCCCCTAGGGCTCTCAGCTCCCTGCTGGGAGCCGGAGCAGCTGCTGGGCTCCTGGGGGACAGTGGGGAGCCTGGGTGGCAGCCTGGCTCAAAGTGGAGAACCCAGGGGCAGCTGGGCTCTAGCTGGAGTCCCCCCAACCTGGGGTGACAGCCCGAGCTGTGAGCTGGGTGTTCTTTTCAATTTCACGGTTCCAGCACAGAGCCGTGAAATTGATAAGAATGACAGCCAACAGCCGATGTATGTAACCTGCAGTGTCTACACAGACACTGCATTGCTCTAACTACACCGACATAAGCCCGATGTCTCTCATGGCGGTGGAGTTATGTCGGTGTAGTAGGGCACTTACATCAGCAGGAGCAAGGCTGTAGTGTAGACACTGATATAATTTGGTCGACATAAGCTGCCTTACATCGATCTAACTCTGTCCTGTCGTGTAGACCAGGCCTGACTCAGGCTCTCTTTCTAAAGGCTACAAGCTTCTTGGCTGCATCTTCATGCAGTACCTGATCATACTTTCTTCCAGGTGACAGCAAAGCCACAAACTGAGAGATTCCAGAGAAAGACTGTCCAGATGGAGTGTCACCCTGCCTATTAAAGTATATAGCATAAAAATACTAAAAACGTATTTTGAGTTCCTTTCTTACCCAGACACCAGATTAATGCCAGCATCTGAAGCCTCCGATGAATTATTGATTTCAAAAAGATAGTCGAAGGTCTCCCTAAACCACTGCTTCTGCTGATGAATTGGTATGCCTGTACATTTGAAATAAAGCAAAAAACTGAAATGGAGGGCGAAGGTAGATCAGGAAAAGACTCCCAAACCCGCATCAGCTGAGAAAGGCAGGCATCAGAGAAACCAGCAATAGTAAATTTTCTACACTGGTAAAACGTTGGACATGACCAGGTAAAAATATACACTGTACTGAACACACAAAATGCATGGGAATTAAACCTGTATTTTGGTATTTGTAAAGTCCAGTGCTATAAGGTAATACATGCCTCCTATAAGGTGCTAATTACCCTCAACTCCCAAGGACTGTATTGGTCTTCAAAGGGAGATTACAGCGCTCAGCAGCTTGCAGTATTGGGCCCTTGCTTCCCTGGACACTCACAGGATTCAGAGATTCACTGCTTCTAAAGAATCAGTGCACCTCAGCTTACCAGTTCCACCTCAGATCACCATTCCATTTAACACACAGCACTTAACACACAGCACAGACATGGATATAGTGAAATCAAGTATACGTTTATTTAACAAAGCACAAAGATTCAAGTAGCAGCAAGTGGAAGTATTGGAAACAAATGGTTATATATAAAACAAAATCATAACATGCATTCTAGAGCCTAGACTTAATTAACAAGATACTCTCATGTCTTGCTCATCCAAAATCCCTGTAGCATTTTACAGCCAGGTTTAGCCTTGACCCTCATCTCATGAGACAGACAAACTGTCTGCTTGCCTCCTAGGCAAAGGATCTTGTGTGTTTCCTTGTACTCGCAGATATACCCTAATAATCCTTTGTCTTTAGTCTTAAAGCAGACACCCCTCCTGTTTATTTCATCCTGTGAATTTTCTCTCTTTTAGATTTCACAATCTCTTCTTTTGCGCATGGCTCAGTATGCAAATAGGGCTACATGGTGAGGCATACAATACACACTACGCACATAACCAGACAGAGAGAGAGGTGTCTGCTGCCTCCTTCCTGAAAGGAACATTTCCGGAGTAGGAAACTTCCTGGTGACCTGCCTTAACTCCAAGACCTTGAGAATATAACTTTTAGTATAGATACATAACTTCTTAAATTTTATCCATACATACATTTCACAATGACTATGACAACCAGTGGGCTACAGATTCTTGGTATAGACCTCACATGTCACTCTTCGGTGAACTATTATGCATATATCCAACCAGGGGATTCCTGTATAATCATATGCAACCACTGTGCTCTCTGCTGATTGGCACGAAGAGATCCCTGTCTGTCTGTCTTTCTCTCTCTCTCACACAAACACAAACACACAATATGTAGAGCCTTAAAGAGCTGAAAATATCTCCAAACATTTTACGACTGAAAACGGAACAAGAACAAGTGACTAAGTATCAAAACACTGGGGTTTTTCTCAGCATAATTTATGATTGTTCAGAAAATAAAGACTGCAGACCTATATTCTAAACTAATCAGATTCAAATACTATCATTAAGTGGAATAATATATCTTCAGTATCATCTGAAGAACAAAGTTTAAACATGGAAAAAAGTCCTGCTGCAAAAACTTTAATCCACATCATTCTGAAGTTTGAGCTATGAGCAGGGCCGGCTCCAGGCACCAGCTGAGCAAGCTGGTGCTTGGGGCGGCAGATTGTTCGAGGCGGCATTCTGCCCAATCCTAGGGTGGCATGGCTGCTTTTTGTTGTTGTTGTTGTTGTTCCGCTCCAGCCGCCCTGTAGGGGGCAGCGGCGCGGAGAACCAGAGCGCCCTGCAGGGCAGTCCTCTTCCTTCCCTCCCCGCCGACCGGAGTGGAGCCCTCGCGGCAGGAGGCGGCGCAGCGGGAGGGGC